TTGGGTGGGGTGAATGTTGCTTTTTGTCGGAATTGATGTCGATAAACACGTTCTTTGATTACGTCAAAGTTTTTATAACATCCTCCGTTGTTCGTTTTGTTGGGTCCATTTGCATTCCGGATGTCTATGTATCTTTGTGGAAATTTGTGTCAGTTGCTACGAGTATTTGTGTTTTGTTGTCTGAAATGCGAGTTACCAGGTATTCTTTACGTATTCATTCTGAAATGATTGATTCTTGCAGATGATGCCAAAAATTATTTCATTGAACGAACTAAGTATTATCTCTTTTGTAAGTCTCGCGTTATTAGTTTGTAGAGTGTACCGCAGGTTATTGGATATTTTGGCTATATTCTGTAATATATTTTAGTGTCATGTGTGGATTTATTAACAAGTCTGAATATTTTTTCTACAAAGAGATTAAAGGATTCTGTTTTTCGCGTAGAGTGCACTTGGTGTTTTTTTTATCTTTTTTTTATAGTAAGAGTGGCGATTATATCAGCCAATAATTATTCAGTTTAAAAAAGTTGACTATAGTAGTAATCAACAGCTAACGTTAATTATTATACCCAATCAAATTTTTTTCGTTTTTGATGCGATTTACTTTGGTGTTGCCTTGGCCAGTAGGATAGAAATTTTGCTGCTGAACGTGATTTGTCAGTAAAGATGTGCGGCAGTACGATCAATTAGAAATAATGGGAACAATGTGAAATGATACTGTTGTTGTGAAAATTTATCGATATTCTAAGAAAACAAATTCTAAAGAAAGAGGGACCCAAATACACACACATTCATAGCGCATTACCTGCCTCATGTAGCTGGAGAATGGCGAAAAGATTAACAAATTTTGTGTAAATTTGCCGGGTAAACGGATTAAAAGTGTCTCGATGAATTTAGTTAATAGTAACTTACTTGCAAAGGAAATATAAGCAGAATATTTGCGAAAGGCAAAGGCCGTTGAAAAGTTAGTCGAGTGAGCCGAAAATTTACTCGAGTTGAGTGGATAGTATCGAGTTAAGAGTTGAATTGCAAAATTCGATAAGACCATAGCGAAAATCACAACGTTGTAAGTGAAAAAATTTATAATTTTCGATTTGGTACGTTTGTTTTTAAGTAACCAATTTTGTGTGGAATTTATTTTGTTGTGTTGGACATGTATAGAGGACATTTCTCGCACCTATTGTAAGTGCATACATACGTCATGCATAATTGGTATCTAGAAAAACGAAAATATTAGTAAAATAAAGTAGTTCATTATTCTCGTTTAAGAGTGGTATGTTTTTTCGCAAAGCACCAACAGCTATTGCTTTCGTACGCTTACTTTGATTTTGTATGCTTTCTCTGGCAAAAACTTCTCTCTTTTGTAAAATTTTTAATAATTTGAACATCTTACTTAATAAAATTTTTTCTTAAGATCTTTTATTTTTGGGTTACTAATTTCAGCTCCGTGCTCGCTTTCACATTTTCGGGAGAACTGTAACGAAACGAAATGGTTTGTCTCATTTCATATATATAATTCTTGATAAATGTCAAAAATGGGTGAATAACTTCACACCCGCTGATTATCTGAATGCGAAAGAGTGCTCCTTTTTGCTAGGAATTTTCCTTTGCGATAACTGCGCAAAAAGTGTCCATATACAATATGATGAATTATTTGTAAACATAGTTTAAGATGCGAGAGGATTAAGAACCATGGATCCACAAACATTTTTTGTTGTGTTGTGCATCTTATACAGTATCTTGTTCTTTTTTGACCGTTTCTTCAAGGTATTTAATCTGGAATTTGGTGATCACATATTTAGAACTTCTTTTCAGATCTGTTTGCATTATCCTTACGAGACATTTCTAAGAAACACTGGATTTTCTGTGGAATTGATGCGTTTGAAGTGGCACACGACCGTTTTTAATAGAAGTATTTTGCGGTTGGGTAATTCGTGCTGCAGACTTTGGTTAATCAAAAGTTTCACCATTGGTGTTATGGCAGCACTTTCCTTGTTACCTGTTGCCATTATATTGCTTTTTATCGCCATATTCAATAGCTCCAGCCCGGCCAAAATTGTTGAAGGTGCAGCTCTTATTGAATCCATTAAAATAGAAATTCTTTTACCTGGTATTAACTTGCCACTGGAAGAAATCGGTTATTACATAACTACGTTGCTAATTGCCACGGCAATCCATGAGTTAGGTCACGCCCTTGCAGCTGTTCTAGAGGACGTACCAGTTACCGGATTTGGTTTTCATGTAAGTTTTCTTTAGTTTAATTTTCAGTTTATTGAATTCTAATTTTTCAGTTTTACTTCTGTTTACCTTTGGCTTACACGGAAATATCAGCAGAGCATTTAAATGCACTAAAATGGTTTAGAAAACTACGGATATTATGTGCGGGCATTTGGCATAACTTTCTATTCACTGGGACATGCTACCTATTGTTTTCGTCCTTGAATTTTGTGGCGGCGCCATTTTATGACTTAAATAGAAACATCATAGTTACGGAGATTTTGACTCAGTCGCCATTGATAACGAAAGGTGATAAAGGACTCTATGAACAAAACGTCATTACTCACATTAATAATTGTAAGGTGATCGATTATGATTCTTGGCTGCAATGTTTGTACAAAACTTTACACTCCAGACCTGGTTATTGTGTGTCTTCTGATTTTATTAGAAATAATGATGAGAGTATTGAAGTTTCTCACCATGGTTCTGATGGCACTTTCCAATGTTGTGATGAAAAAAACGAAAAGCTTTGCTGCTTCGAATACATCGACAATTTTGGTAATGATGCACCTGTAGAAATACCTCAATATGTATGTTTGGAAGTTAGGCGAACGCTCGAAGATGCATACGATTATTGCACTTCGCATGGCACTTGCAACATTGGCTTTTGCTTAAAACCTCTGCTACGAAACGTTACAACTATTCTAAGCTTTAAACGGAAAACTATTGACAACAAAGTATTAAAAGACGTCATATACATGGGTCATCCCGTAGACGTTCTACGTACTGTTCGTATATCTCCTTTTGTGCCTAAACACTCATTTGTAACACCAGAATGGGCAGACGCGTACGTCTTATTTCTCAAATATAACATAGTTTTTAACTTGGGATTGTCGTTAATTAGTTCTGTACCGTGCTTCGGTTTTGACGGCCATCACATCGCGAGTACAATTATACATAGTTTTCTAATCAATCGTGTTACAGAAAAACGTAAACGAGAATTTATCTCTTTAATAGTGAGCGGATTAGGTACACTATTTCTAGTGTTAGCTATTTTGAAAGTGTTATGGTTAAGTGTACTTAGATATTTAATCTAGACATAAAAAACATTTGTGCATTTATAAGTTTCTAAAAACGAGAAGGGGATTTTCGCTTAATGCCAAATTTAGAATCTGACAAATTTTTACTCTAAAAACTATGCAATAATCTTCAATCAGAATATATTGACAGCTAATTTTTTGTAAGATTCCCAAATATTCACACCAATATAATATCTTACGCAACTTGAGTTGATAAAAATGTTTAAAAAATCTTCGTTCTTTTAGAAAATGATAAAAGTCAGTTTAAGAGGTCTTAACTTTTTTTATAGTGAAAATATCGTTGCCAGTTAACATTTATAAACATAGATATTAAAAAAAACTTTTATATGCTTATTTTTACCTAACACCAAAGACGTAAAGCAAGGTGCTATTTCAATAAACAATATGTTGTTTATATATCTATTTGCGTTTTCTTAATCCATTAACCCTCAAAAACGTTGAATAGTGTGTATGACAGCGTGAATAACAAAATGATTGCAGACCAGAGTTAATGATGCTGAATGTTGTAATGACAACATCCCTTATATATTTTATATGTAGACAGGATTAAAAATTGCATTGAAAAAATTGTACACGTGTTCATGTTGCAAATCCATATTTTAAAATCTGTAAACTCGCTATTAGATCAGTAATTAATTGTAACCACTTTTGAAAAATGTCATCTTATCTAAGGAGAGACACGCAATCCGTCGAAGTGTGGGCAAGCATGGATTTGTTGGTTTGAACTTGGATTTTTGATATACACTTATTTCGGAAATAGAATGGCACCGTACTAGAAGTATCTCAATGGTATTTGGGAATGTAAAAATGGAAATATCTCATACTTCAACATTTTTTTTCGATGTTATATTCGTGTGGGTCCAAACGAGGTATTAAAAAAATTTTTATATGCTTATTTTTACCTTACACCAAAGACGTAGAGTAAGGTGCTAATTTAATAAACGATATATTGTTTATATGTCTGCTCGGTATATTAGGCACGTTTTTCAACAGGTTTGCGCGATCTGGAGTGTGTTGTTTAGTTACTCTGCCAATATCGTTCAATTATCAATTACCTTAGCAGATGTGCGAATCACCTTTTAACAAAGACAAATATTATGGTACTCATTTTGTTTTTTTTTTTTTTCATAAACACAATATAAACATGGTCCCTTATATTTTTGCGTAAATAACAACAAACACGGCCCTTCGTACAATATTTTCATAAACAATAAAACACAAACATCATTCCTCGTTAAATCAGTTATCGGCATAAAGCGTTTATATTTTTATACTTTTGCAGCTTGTGATGCAAATATATGCAACGTCTAGAGATTGACCCTCCTTTTAGTATATGTATAGGCTGTGAATTAACCTTTTAAACCGATATATTCATTTACAAGGCACAGTTAAACAGACGTCGCATCCCACGAAACTGCAATTCAACGTTGTTTTCCGGTAAGTATATTTCGATTCAGTTGGAAGAAATATTATGGAAAACATCAATTCCTTAAGCCGTCTCTGCGCTTCGAGCCAATCGCGCTAACATGGTCCTCAGAAAGGCATAGGATAGGCACGCATGTTTTTTTAAAATCGCTTATTTTCAAGAAAACTTATTGAATTTATTTGTTCTTTCTACTTTCTCTGCGAAACATTTTTCTTATTAATATATTTATAAATCATTTTCATTAGATGAAGATGTAAAAGATTGCTGAAACATTAGGTTAGAAGTATTGCTATATTATATTACATTATATTATATATTATAATTTATTTTCAATTTAGTCTTCGCGTATGTGACAGTGCTAATGGGTTTTTGGGGATCACGTAGGCACAACAACTGTTAAATACGCTATCTTGTACTTGGAACATTATGAAAAAGCAGAGAGCTGACGTTAGACATTAGCATTGGTTGTTTAGAGAGAAAACAGCTGTAAATTGAAAACAAAATGAATTTCAAAAAATCGGCTTGCTTGCAAACCAACCAAAACAATAATTCAACAAACAACCAAAATTTATTGATCAATAAAGTTTGGTTTAGCCGCGAAACAAAAATTGTAAAAAAAGAACATTTTTTCTAAGATTTTTGCCTTTTTTTTTGATCGGCCTAAGTTCCCCATTTGGAAAATTTGGATTTGTGAAAGGTAATATGTTGTTAAATATTAATAAGTTATCGTTTTGCGTTAATCAATATACATTTATTAGAGAGAACTCCTAATAACAGATCATTTTATACTTTTTGATGGAAGAGAATCGAACTTTGTAACAGAGAATTGTTATTACACGGTGAGTAGCTCTCTGGGATGAATCTTTTTCAGTGCCTAAAGATGTGTAAGTTTCTTTGATATATACATAATACATTTTTGCATTTATGTATATCTTATATATATTTATTTACAGAAAACTCCCCTCTTCTAGATCAAATTAGAGGAGATACACCAAGATACAACGTCCTTGTTTTTTACTTTTGATGATTGAGTTCGCCTCCTTAATAATTCTTGGGTAGTCTCTTGAATAAACCACATGTGTCGAACGGTGCCTTGGTTTCTTGCCTTTAATTTTCCAGTTGAAAATAACAAAGAGAAAACACACGTTAAACCTTTTAAATAATAAATTACATACTTGTAATTACTTGCATTTCTTAGCTGTATTCGGCGTATCGCCCCCCGGCCGCCCATATATCGCACTGGAGTTCCTAAACGCGTAAAGAAGAGTTAATACAAATAAATTAAAAAAATACTTACATTTTACCTTTATTATGTATCTATTACATAATATTATTTGATTTACCAATAACTTTGTTGTTTTAATGTACGTTTACTATGTATGTTCACAGAGTATTTCTCCCATAATAGATGAAACTGAAAACAGTAGCGATTTTAGCAAAGGTTTCCAATTCCTCTTATTAAATTAGGACATAAAACGTCTTTTAGCAAAAGCATGACGGCACAAAACATTGTCAACCATTTTTCATTTAAAGCATTTTCCGTTCATTACAATAAAGTCTCCGTCTAATCGTAATCATCATTAGATTTTCAATTTGCAAAGTCTTAAATGTGATCACGGGAGCACAAGTAATCAAGGCATATAATTACCTAGAAGAATTCTTGTCCACTTCATATTACGCGCATAATCAATTTCTTAAAGGTAATTATTCCATTTTTTTCCAATGTGCTCGCCAAACATTTGTCCACTACTTCATTAATAGTTAGCTTGTTTGTTTATTTACCGAGAAAAAAGATCAGCCGCTATTTTTCGGATCTTGACAGTCATAACTGAATATGAACAAAAGCTTCTTGTTTTCTTCTGCTTTTTCATTTACATATGAGAGAAGCGAAATTGACAGGATAGTCCAACGCAATTGGGACCAAAACTTCAGACAGATGACTATCCTGCAGAGTAGAGCTGTTACGTCGGAATTTAAATCGACGCCCCTTTTTTTTTAATAAAATGACATGATAACACAGTACCACTTGGAACCCGCTAACATAAAAAAACGAATAAGGTTTTAAATTGTGATGTGATACTTCGTCTTTCAGGTTAACAAGTCCCAAGTGACAAGCACAATGAAAAGCCGCGTTACTATATCTATGTTATAAGAAAAACTAAGAAAATCGACGTAAATTTAAACAAAACCCTACGGCTTGTGAAGTAAAGTTGAAGAAATCAACGTAAATTTTAATAGTAATAAGTGAAATATAAAAATAAGAAATTTAAGGCAAAAGCAATTTGAATTTTTAGTTCATTAATGAACAGCGAAGAATAATGGCTTTAAATGACCAAACCGATTATTTAAATGCTTTGATCTGAAAAATAAATTTAAGGCTGGAATAAATCGCCTTCGCTGCTTTAAAATAAGCTAAAATTTCATTCGCATTTCATTCACATTTGACACAATACATCATCTCCGCAAACGGCAGCTGGATAATTTTTGTGTTTACCGGTGTTCATGAAAAAGAGGAAAAAAAAAAAAGAAGAGATTTTAAATATTTGAAAAACGGAAAAGAGGTTTAATAAAGTGATAAAATACCCAAAGAAAACAATTTTAAAGAAAGAAAAGGAGGGAAGGAAGAGCAATCTCTCGTGAGAGAAAAATTAAGAAGCAATACATATATTCAATTATTATTTTTTGTTTTTTCTTTGTGATTTTTTCTTTTTGTGTTCCCCGTGATAACAACCAAAACAACATCAGCTCGTCTCCCTATGGAGAATGGGTCTGATCTTATAACTACTAATAGAGACTGTTTTCAAGATTTTTACATGAACGCCACTGGGCACACCAAGAGATCGAGGATGGGTGAGAATAAAATTCCTTTATCTGCTAACAGAAAAGCTAATGCAAACGTTTTAATTGCGCCTAGTAAACAGGCAATCAAAAAGCCCTCTGATTTGGGTGCCACAGCCGCCCCAAATCTCGAGATTAATTTGTACGATTGCCTTTCCAACTACAATTTTGTCGTTTTTGTCGAAACGTGTGCGGACGCAGATGGAAATCGCATCAATATTAACTCCAATCTTTTTTTCTATGATTACTTGAAGGATTTCGATATGTATGGCTTGAAAGAATTAAAAGTTGTCAGCAGGGGTAGAGCCAAACTGCTTTTCAGCTCTGCTGCCAATGCCAACAATTTTGTTATGGATAATGAATTTAATAAAAAGAATTTAAAAGCGTTCATACCGAAGTCGTTCACTGAGAGATTTGGAGTTATTCGAAACATCCCATGCACATATAGTGTCGATGATATAATTAAAAACGCCATATCCGATATTCCGATTAAGTCCGCTGTCCGTTTCCAAAGAAGAAATCCCAACAACAAAGACGAGTGAATTCCCACAACCAGCATCAATAAAATTTAACTATTGTAATCTGCCGGTCGAATACTTTGTACCCACTTTAAAGCAGTGCTTTAAGTGTGGCAGATACGGTCACGTATCTAAATACTGCAAAGCTAAAGAGAGCTGGTGCCTTAACTGTCGAAAGTCTCCGAAGTGTGTAAATTTTGGGGCGATGAAGTGCTTGTCCTGTGGCTCAGGTGAGCACAACGCTCTCAATAAGTGTTGCCCTAATAGGGAAATTGAATTAAATATCAACAGGATAATGGCGATTAAAAATCTTTCGTATAAAGAGGTCAAAGAGAATTTTTCCGAAAATTATTTCGAATGTCTCGATGACATCACTTATGACGGCAATTTGCCTCCACTGGGGAACACGTCTGCAATTTCGACCAAGGATGATAATCAATATGCCAACAAAATCTTAACCAAAAATAAATACAATGCTGTCGTCAAAAGGAAATTGGTTCCTTCCAAATCTCTTATTAATTCACCCACCAAGCCTTCTCCCAATACACCCCCCAAGTCGTCTGGAACAAGCCTTCTTGGACCAAAATTTCAAACAACTATTTGCGGTCTTCAGAACTTGAAAGATCAATTCTCGCGATTCAAGAAAGTATCCGTCCGATGATCCCTCACAATCTTATTAAAGAATTTGAAGAAAATATGTCTGTCTGTGCTATTTCTTGCCCCGTTCGAGCATCCAGTACTGCGAAGAAATCCGCTGGGGTTCTTTCTCAAGTTCCAACATGATATCCTTTTTACAATATAATATTCAAAGTGTCCGACGTAACCTATCTTTTCTAGATTTTTACTTAAACCCAAACAAGATTGATTTTTGTGAAGTTTTTCTGAAAGACGAAAATTGTTTCGAAGTTAAAGTTTCGAATTATGCCTCAGTCACCAAATGGCGAAATGATGGCTGTGGTGGTGTTAGTATATTAGTTAAGGAAGGTGTCAATTTCAGACGTATTCCCTATTACTCTGCCGTTGACATCATCACCATCAAAACCATCAACCTGAAACCAAATCTTTTCATAGCCTCATGCTACTTTCCACCCAGTCTTGATGTGCAAACCTTTCGTGATTAGATTCAGAGATTATACGACTTTCTTGACGGTGAACAAAATATGATTCTAGCTGGAGATTGCAATGCAAGACACCGCCTGTATGGCGATCATGTCTCTACCAACAAAGGCCAAATCCTTGTAAATGCCATCAATTCCATCAGTTTGAGTGTCTTAAATAACGGCAATACTACCTTTCACTGTAACCGGAGCGGTCGCACCGCGAGCAGTGTCTTGGATCTAACTTTCTCGAACTCAACTATTTTATCTTTCAGCTGGAACACGTCCATTGGCAAAAGTCAGCACTCCCCCATTATATTCCACAATTGTAACAATACCGCCAATAAAATAGAAAATTTCATTTCACGCAACTTCCTTATGGACCGTCTGTCTAAAGTTGATCTTCCTTCTGATTTATCATCAATTCAAAGTGCCTTTCAGTCTGTGATCATGTCTGCTAGAACCAACTTTCCTGACATTGAGTCCTTCTCACCTAAACCTTGGTGGAACCCTTCCCTGTCAACACTTTTCCGCAAACACCAAGCTGCAAGAAAAAAAATGAGTAAATATGCCAATCCAGCCAACTACATTGAATATATGAAAACACTGAAAGAATGGAGGTCTGCAGGAACAGGACACATAGAGCCATCGCTATTAAAGAGTTATGTGATAACGGCAACCCACGTTCCTTCTGGAATTATATCAATGGTCATCGACATTCTAGTCAAAAATTAAGCGGTTGTGCTGTATAATAATAATAAAAAATACTTAGATATGCTCAAGAGCTACATTCCAATTGTCAATCCGATTACAATACCTTCAATTCCTTTTAGTAGTATCAGTAACACACCCTTTTCATTGCATGAGCTAATGTATGTTTTACATTCCAGAAAGAGAGCTACTGCTGCAGGTTGTGATGGAGTCAAGTATGAGATGCTCAGAGCACTCTCTGGAGGAATCCTCAGCATTCTTGTGCATGCAATTAACAACTGCTGGTGCATCAACTTTATACCCTCAGATTTGCGATGCATCAAAATAGTTCCCATTCCTAAGCCAGGTAAAGACTTAAATAATTTAAGTAGCTTCAGACCAATTTCACTGATTTCTGTATTCATAAGAACTATCAACCTCATGATTAAGGAGAGACTAACTGCTTTCCTGAAAACTAAGAACATTATTCCAGCCAGCAACTGTGTTTTCTCATAGCCAGTTTAAAAAAAGCAGGGAAAATGGTTGTCATGCTCTCCCTGGACATCAGCAAAGCCTATGACTGTGTCAACTTGATTAAGCTTGGTAAAATTCTCCTAAACTTTTCGATTCCTCTTCAAATGCGGCTGTGGATACTTAATTTTTTATCCAGCGTGTGTTGGTGATGGGTACTGAAACAGTTGAAATATACGGTGGTATCCCACAAGGCAATTGTTTAAGCCCAATACTCTTCAAACTATATGCAGCTTCTTTGCATGATCTTCAAGACGACAAAACTCATATTTTTCAATATGCAGATGATTTCCTAATTGTATGTGCGAACTCATCTTTTTCAGCTGCTGTCGATAACCTCTCGATAAAAACGAACTTGTTTTTCGATGCATGCGCTGATCTTAATTTATATTTTGCCAAAGGTTCTAAACGTGAAATCAGACTTCTTATCAAAGGTACCCAAGTTAATCAAGTAAAATCTCTTCAATTTCTTGGGAGAATTTTAAATGACAGCTTAACCATTCGTGGGCATTATGAAAAGGCGTTCAAAGATTGTCAGTCTGCAACATCATCAAACTCATGACAAACAATCAGGCAGGCTTGCCTCCCAAAAATGCTTTGACCGTTTACAAATCTCTAGTCAGGTCCAAAATTGAATTTGGACATTCCACATGTTGCAATTTCCCAAAATATATTGAGAAACTTATACAAGCATTAGAAAACCGAATGTTGAAGCGTTGTAGGGGACTGACCCCCTCAACTCCTCAACATATTCTCAATGTCGTATCTGGTGAATGGCCGGTTTCCGAAAGAGCCCTTTTTTGCACTGCCAAGGAGTTAATTTAAGTCAAGATGATAAATCCTTCTTTTTTTCAGGAAATTATATCTCTCAGTGATACTATCACTTGCAGCTATACTTTTTGCTATCAAAAACTTCGTCATATTTTTGATAAGTTAGATTCAATTCCCCCCTTAAATTTCATTACCAGCAAATGCAGAGTCTTCATGAACATTCTCGAATCGATCTCT